AGGGTAATACATTGACTGAAATCATTGGAATTGTTTGCAGACTTCTCATTGGATGATTTGCTAAGACACTGGAAGGAAATTGCGAAGTCAGTCCCAACTAAGATGACTTCAAGTCCCTTATAGAATCCTCCCCCTCATGGCTTCATCAAGCTGAATTTCAACGATAGCAGTTTGGGAAATCCAGGGCCTTTTGGCATTGGGGGAGTTCTAAGGAATGAAGAACGGAATATAATAGCCAGGTTTTCTGGTTCAATTGGAGTGGGAGACTCCCTTAGGGCTGAGGTAATGGAGGCCATGGAAGGGGTAAATAGAGCTAGGGACCTGAATATAAATAAGCTGGTCATAGAAGGAAATTCTGAGATAGTAGTGGGTTGGTTAAAGGAAGACCAAGATTGGGCTCTGGAACTACAGCAATGAGAAGAGCAAGTTTGAGTGGTTGACAAAGGACATTGATATAAAATGTATTTGGGTAAAGAGAAGTGCCAATTCCCTCGCCGATAGGCTAGCTAGGTAAGGGGTGAATAGGGATTCTATTTTTTGGGTTCATTTGTAACTATTCTTCTCTTTCTTTGGACTATTTTTTCTGATCCCTCGGGGAGTTAAGATACTTTATCTCCCCTTCTTTGTATTTTAACCTTTTATATTAATGAAATGCTTCCTGTAATTGATCAGAAAAAAAAAAAAAGTGGATCAGCCTTCAAGCATTGGAAGCTTAGACAGCACCGAAGCATGTAAGACATGGGATGAAGATCAGTTGGGTACAGAACTCTTGTTTGAAGAATCCTCATCTCTCACTATCAAAGAAGACAACAGCAGCAAGGGACGAAGATCAAGAGATGACAAGAGGCAACAGGGGTTGAACCATCTATAGGAAAAAATGAGCAGGGTGTACGTTCTTGAAGTAATTGGTCGAATCAAAAGTCGAGCTTAAGTGCTACGGAGTCACTACAGGAAGAATTGGAAGGATGTGGAGTGTACACAAGAAAGAATAAAGAGCAAGGCACAAAAGAAAGAGAAAAAAGAGTGAGTTGGAGAAATTAAACTGTTGGATAGATTATGAAAAGGATGAGAGTGGAAGGAAGGAGAGCAGGCAAGGAAGCAAAGAAAGGAATGTAGAACTTTAGGGTTGCAATAGTTGAAATCAAATGTAATTATTAGCCAGAATGTCAGAGGGTTAGGGATGCAAGGAAAAGGAGTCTGGCTAGAAACCTAGTAAAAAAAGAGAGAGAGAAAGAGAAATCAAATATGGTTCTGTTTAAAGAGACTAAACTTTCTGAGGTTGATAGGAGATGGATAAGAAGCATCCACAGTGTTAGAGGATAAAGCTGGGTTTTTGCTCATTCATGGGGGGGGCATGGGCATCAGGTGGCATCTTGACGGTTTGGAGGAATGAATAGATTGAATGTCTTAAGAAATTAATTGGGCAGTTCTCTGTTTCAATTAAAAACAAAATACCGAAACATGGTAAAATGTGAACTCTAACGAATGTCTATGGTCCTTTTTTTGGATCAATTACTGAAACAGATTAACTAAATTAAGGATAAAGATAAAAATGCACAAAGAGAGGAGAGATAACTCTCTTAACTCTCCCATAAAATAAGCAAGATTACAACAAATCCCAAAACAGCTGATTCCTTCCCACCTCTTGTTTGGCCAATGTATCAGCAAAGGAATTAGCCTCTCCTTTTACCCACAGAAAAGATACCTCCATTTATTGTAACAGCCACCTAATTCGCCTCTCATAAATGTAGCTCCACCACCTAACATCCTCTTTCTTTTGAAGCCAGCTCATAACAAGCTTTGAATCCCCTTCAGTTACCAACTTACGGATTTGCATGTCCTTAACTTTCTGAAGCTAAAATTCCAGCCCTCAAAGAATCACATACCCCAATTGGACCAAAGAAAAATGCAATAATACTACCTTCATCATTTCTTAAGATTCCTCAATGCCTGAAAAACCTAGATTTCCTTCACTGCTACCATCAAAATTCAGCTTTAAAAAAACTACCGAAGGTAGGAACCAAATAGACCAAAGAAAAACCTTCATGGGAGCAGAGTCAGCAACTTCCATCCACTTTCTCACCACATCACCAGCTGGAATGTCCTCAAACAGCTTCAAAGACTTCACCCAATAAACCACTCTAATGATAATGGCTTCAATAATTAAAGCACCCCTACTTCTTTCTTTGTCTGAGAAGGTTCTTTGATTTCTTTATTTCCAAAGTGTCCAGCAAACAGCTGCCCTTGTACACCTCCATAAAGTTCTACCCCTCTTCTTCGGCCAGCTAACAAAGGTAGAGGCAAATAGTCTTTGTACATTGGCAGGGGGTTCCACCTGCACCCAAACAACAAAAGAAACCATTCCCAAATTGAAGAGGTAAAGGGGCAGAAGTTAACAGTTAGTCTTTTTCTTTGCAGTAAGTCAAAGGTGTTAATTCTTTCCAGAAAAACTTCCCAACAAAAATCCTCAATCCTCGGCAGAATAAGTGTACTCCAAATCTCTTTTATAGGGAAAGGCACTCCAAAACTATCATTCAGCTGTGTTAAAGATGGAACGAACGAGGCACAAGTAAAAAGACCAAAAGAAGAAAGGGTCCAGATTCGATTGTTCCTTTTGGAAGGATCCAGGATCACCCTATCAAGACCTCAGAGTGGAGCTGAGACACTATCAATTTCAGACTCACAAAAGCCTCTCCTAAAACCCAAATCCCAATCTTGAGTTATAAGGAACTGTAAAAGAAGTAATGGGCTCCTCCTTACGGTTGGGAAGGGCATAGAAAGAACGTTTTAAAGGTGAATTGACCAGCCACACATGTTCCCAAAATTTGGCAAGATTTCTAGAACAAGGATTATACCTAATGAATGGTAGGAAGGAAGGATGGCATGAATGGATTTCAATGGAGATGCTCTTGTAGCCCTAGCCAAAATTCCAGAATCCCACCCATCAGTTGCAAGCCCATGAATAATTATTACCACCTTTACCAACAATTTATCTCTATCCATTGGCAATCTCCACAACCACTTCCCTACCAGAGTGATATTCCTATCATGAATGTTTCCAAAACCTAAACCACCAAACCTCTTGCTTCTACAAACCACTTCCCAACTTACTTTATGGCCCTTCTTCTCCTCCCCTACCTCCCACAAAAAACCTCTCATCAACTTCTCCACTTTCCTACTAACCCCCACAGGAATCCTAAAAACTAACAAAAAGTGTACAGGTAGGGTAGCTAGTGTAGACCTAACTAGTGTGATCCTACCTCCCAAAGATAAATAATCCCTCTTCCAAGAAGCCAATGTCTTTGTAAATCTTTCAAGTAAGTCATAGGCCATTGTGAAACTACATAACCCAAATTTCTACGCCATCTAAGATCTCCCTCTCCTCCATGTTCAATCCCACAAAACTTTTATCAAATTTGATTTTCAAATTGGAGATTTGCTCAAAAGTTCACATGACCAACTTTAAATTTCTCACCCAACTAGGATTGCCTCCTTTACAGAAAAGGATTGTATCATCAGACAATTGTAGGCGAGTGATTGGCACCTCATCTCTACCCACCCACTAACCCCTAATCAGGTTTCTAGAATCCACTCTTGAAATTAATCTTCCAAAAACATCTACAATTAAGGTGAAGAGAAAAGGAGAAAGGGGTCCCCTTGCCTAAGAGCTCTTAAGGCTGAAAATGGTCCACCACAATTCCATTCACCAAGATTGAGTAGTGGCACGTCCTAATACGCCCCAGAATCCATTTGCACCATCTATCGTCGAACCTAAAGTTCTTCATTACCTCCAATAAGAAACCCCAAACAAATGTCTAAGGTCTTAACCCATACAAGGAGAAGAATCTTTTTGGAAGGAGTTAAGTGTAATTAGGGGTCTGTGGGAGAGTCCTTGATGTGATGGTGGCAATATTAATGTGATAAGACTCTTAAATGAATCAAATAATCCCAACCAAAGTATAGCCACTAGCACGAGAAAGTCCAATAATTTGGTGAGACTTTTGAATTGAAGGAGTTGCCTCTCTTGTATGCAAACTTCACTTGGTCCAATTTTCAAGCTAACCCAGTTTGCTTAAAATTGGATATATTTTTATATTCGGTAGATTGGGAAGAGATGTCGGAAGACTTAATGGCTAGAGTTTTAATAAACAACTTCAAAACACTGTCTTGTAAGTCTAGGGCAAGAGAGGCATTTAAGCGGTCTAACACATTTTGGGTTTGAATATGTGGTTGGAAGATCCTCAACTCATCTTGAAAGTTAAGAGTTGGTGGAAGGAAAGTGGAATTCAATTAGAAGAAAGGAAGTGAGAATTGTTAGGTCATAGAGAGACCTCCCAACAGAAAACCTTGATCATTGGACATTGGTGGGGAAGGGCCAACCCAAATGGACTTCCAAGGATAAGAGGAAAGAGGAAACTGAGTTTGGGATAGCTCAAGAAGTTTGAATAAGGGAGAAACAGAAATAAGAACCTGATGGGCAAGGGTACCAGATTCTTTCACCATATCCAGAAAAAGCAATAAAGACAGGATTGATAAAGTTCAGGAAACCCAAGAGCTCATTCATTTTCCAAAGCTAAAACTCTCCTAAAACCCAAATTTCAATAAATGTTGCCCTCTCCATAGTTGACCATGTCAGCAGTGGATTTGTTTCTATGCAAGGACAGGTTATACAAACGAGGGTACGCAATAAACAAAGGAATTGCCTCTATAGTTCCTCTGTTCTACTTCTGTGAAAGATGAAAGCACATTAAAGAGAGTGTGGTCTCCTCTAAACTAAAAGAAAAGAAACTGCCTTCATAGTGACTATGCAACTCACCTAAAAAACCAAAGCCTAAAAGAAGGATCATGTAGAAAGACCAAAACCCTAGGCTCGATGATCCCATGAAGACCAACATATGCTTGATAAAAATATTCTGGAAAAAGCTAAATGCTCAAAGAAAATGATTACACAGAATGAACCATCAAAGCACAGCACATATTCTTCTGTTCCTTGAACCAACCTGAAATTCCAAAGTCTTTTTTCAGTTCCTTCTTTTCCTCTGGGTTCAATTTTATATCAGTGTCAATAATTTGTTTTACTTTCTCTTGAGTAGGCTCTGGATCATCAACCCATGCATCTTCCCCAACATAGGAACTGTCATGAATAAGTGCCCCATCAGGTCCTTCAATGAACTTCTTCATTTTCAGGCCCTTGGGCATTGTTTTCCTCCATATACTCTTCTTGTACCTGCAATATAAAGAAATAGGGTCTCAGCCATTTTGCCACACAAATGCTTAAGGAAAGGTGTGGAGACCATTGAAGAAAATTAGTTGAAAAATGTTGGCCTTTATCGTCCAAATCAAATCAAGCATTAAGCACATACAGACTAACCATTTTACAGATACCATGTCAAGGTTCTATGAACATTTTTGTGAAAAATGAGGTGCTTCTATAGTCATTAGTTTTGATAGTAAAGTACAAACTCAATCGCAAGCTTGGGTTCAGAACTTGTGCTCATAAGCCTCATATTATAACCTACAATAAATACCAATCTGAAAACCTACAAATGGTCCACCAACCTGTTTTGAACCCCTCCCAAAAGCACAGGTATAAAGGAATATAGGATGCCAATTTAAATTATACCTACACTCAAAAGCATGACCACTACTAGGGTTGTAAATGGATCAGGTCTACCCAACAGAACCAAACCAATTATGTCAGTTCTGGTTTCGTGGCTGTCCTGATTAATAATTGGATCAGATGTGCTTCTTGCTGTTTTGGTTAAAACACTTGTTTTATCAACATAATCATCAAGTATAATTGGGTCTAATCAGCTCAGACCTGATTGGGTCCTTTGGTGGAGAAACAAAGTAACAAACACAGCCTAAAGAAAAATAAAGGGGATGTAGATCTGATTAGTCAAATGGCTCAAATCTGAGCTGCTGCAGGAACAATAAGCAGTCAGATGGGGAAGAAGGAGAGTGATGGGTCAGAGGTTGGCTATCTAGGAAGCTCGAAATGGAGTGGTGCAGGTTGAAGCAAGTCAGATGAGGAAGATAGGTGAGAATTGAAGGCCCTTAACGCGAGTCTAGTTGGAAGGTTCGTTTGATTGGATTTGGAAGAAGAAAAAGTGGAAGCTTGAACAGGATTTGAATGGGGGAAAGAGAGTTATGGGTGTTTGAAAGCTGAATGGAGGCTTGTTCCTGTTTGTGTTACATACTAGAAAAGCTGCAGAGTGAGTTGTGGAGTCAGAAGAGAAGAAGAGCAGGAATAGTGATCTAAGGTTAAGCTGGACCTCTCAGACACTGATTAAGGAGAAAACGCATTGAATCCCAGTTCCAACCATCTCAGGATTATTCTTATTTTATGTTCAAAAGGAAGGAAGACATGGAAGTGGTTCTGAAGAATGAAGCTGGAGCCATTATCAATATCCAGAATTAAGATTAAGGTGATGGTCTTCGATGGTTGGGCAGATAATGAGCAATGAAGCAGGTGTTTGTGAACCCAAAAAATGATGTTCATTTTAATCTTAGGGTGTTGGAGAGGAGTTTGGTTGGTCGATTTGTTAATTACTTAATTCGGATCCAGATGCGGAAGATGTTAGGGAGTGGGCTGTTGCTATATGGCGCCCAAGAAAGTCTTTGCAGGTAAGGAAACTAAATTCTGGTCTCTTCCTCTTTACATTTGATAGTGTGGTGGAGGCAAACCTTATTCTAGAGCAAGAGCAAAATGAGATGCAATCTCCAGATCTTAGAAACGAGAGATGGTTTCCCTGGGTTGATGCTATCAGAGGTGTGGGTCCATCGAGCTTGGTTGGATTTTAATTTTCAGTATTCCTTTATATGCTTGGAGTTTTCCTATGTCCAAAGCTGTGATGGATGCTTGTGAAGGTTTAGATTTGTTGATCCAAAAATGAACTCATGGCGGAACTTGAATGCTGCGGGAATTCTGGTCAAAGTTGCAGAGATCCAAATGGTGCCAATTTTGTCATCTATTCACTTTGCTAGGGAGGTGTGAATTAAGACTTGACATTGAAGGATCCTACCCTTTAAGGTGGGTGGATAACTTCAAAGAGTGGAGGGAGTTCAGCTGCAAGAGAGCTAAGTTTTCTGAATAAACAAGTGAGAAGCTGAACAGACAGGTGGTGGCAGGAAAAACAGAGGTAGATGACGAGGGTATTTCTGGTATTTTTGGAAAAAGTAATGGGGATGGCTTGATGGGTCACGACGAAGATGGAATTCGTAAGAAATTGAAGAGTCAGGAAGTGTGTGGGCCCAGATGAAGTCAGCTGACTTAACCGAAAGGGTGGGCTCAATTGTTTTAGTGGGCTGCAGAGATGGTGTGGAGAAAGGGGAGGTGGGACACATGGATAGCCTTAATGAGAAGTCAGTGGATTTCGAAGAGATGCTTAAGACTACTGGACCCAATGAGGAATCAAGGCCTTGAATGTTAACATTAATGATAGTAAAAGAGGGCTTCTAGGTTTCAATCACCCAAAATTTTAAAGGTATGGGACATCACAAAGAAGATGTTCGACCAAAGTTAGAAAGGAAAAGGAAGAAAGATGGATTTGGGTGATCGCCAAGTATGATAGGAGTGGTAAGAAAACGATTATTTGAAGAACAAGGGCAGAAAATGTTTATCGTCACTCTTCTCCCGTTGATGGAAATTCAAGCTTCAGCTTTCAGGTTGTTAGAGTTCCCACGGTGGTATGTGTTGCTTCTGAGCATGCGGAGGATGCTGTTGCGATATCTCAAGGAATCAGGTATGTTTTGCACAAACCAGCATTGTTGGACTTAGGGGAGGATTTTTCTGCTGAGAAGGATAGGTCGGAAGAGGGGGAGGAGGCAAACCAAACCACCATGAAAGGTCCTTCAACTTGTAAGTCCACTTTCCTGGGTATCTCCTCACTCCTCAGTCTTGACTTCACTCAGTAAAATAGCCGCACACCCAAGGTCCCCCCCCCCCCAAGAAAAACACCATCAAGACATGCTCCACATAGCACTGCGATTACTTCTGCTACTTCATGACTCTAAAGATGAAATGGTAGTCCAATAACACACACTACTAGCCCATTCATAATAGAGAAGTCCTTCAAGTATGATGATGGGGACCATCTGAAAATATTTACCAACCCATAATCATCTTGCAGACACAAAGCCTCGACTTCTAATTTATTCTCGAGCAGGTCGAGCAAAGCTCTGCAACTATGAAATGGCATTAGAACAAAAGTATTTTTTAGCTTCAACTATTTTGTCAAGAGATCAGCAATCTTCTTCCAATCTCTGATTGGGTCTTTAACTTCAACAATCAACTTGCTTGCCCATTCTCCTTTCCCAGCAGTCACCAACAAAGACGACTTACTTTTAGCTTGTGACAAGGACAAGATCTGCCTAAGGGACTCAACACTACTTGCTGCCTTAGATAATTGGATTTCTACAATTCTATGATCGAAATAAATTCAATCAAGAATTAGTTCTCTACTTTTCCATTCTTTTGTTTATATTTAGTTTCGTCAAGGGAGACCTTTTGTAAAGCCCTTACTAGAAAATGATTTATTTACGTTATTTAAGACCAGAAATTGAGTTTACATTCCATCATATGTAGGTTAGAGAGCTATTGTAATTGGATTTATTTGACTTTCAAGTCAAACTTGATCATATCATCTTAGCCTTCTATTGCATAGGTGGTAAATTCTATTGTTTTAGGTACATATGTGGAAGTCTGGTAGATATGGATTAAAATTACAATAAAGTCTCTTCATTATATATATTTATCCTTTAATATATCTATATTTAATTTTTTGACAAGTTTGTAATAATAGCAGTAATCTTATGATTTATGATACAATTCACGATTCAATTTGATTCAACATTCTCTACGATTTTCAAAACCGTGCACCTAACCAGCTTCAGTTGACTCAATCATGTCTCCAATAAGGGCTGTATAAAAGAATTTGCAGTTTTCTTTCCTCAAGAATCTTCTTTCCAACTAGTATCATTCCAAAATAGGGGGCAGGTTCCAATTTTTGCAACAAAATAAGACATTTATCAATCTCTCTTTGAGGAATAGGTCAATACAAGATGGGTTTCCAAATTACCAAGGCTTCATGGATGGAGCAAAATGCATTAATAGCCCTACAGAGATGAGAGGAAGTACAAGACAGTATGAAACTACCAATTGGATGTACAAGATAATAAGACACTAACAATTTTAACCATAGGAATAAACAGGAGATTCACTTCACAATAACCTGTGTTTTTTAAATAAAAAAGAACAGGAGTTTCTATTGCAAATCCACATTACCATAGAGATCTTCTTGCAGTGCATATTGTATAGTGTTGGCATGGACTCGTGATTTTTGGTTCGATGTCCAGAATATATATATATATATATAGTAAGAATGACTTCAGCGATCATAATTTAACAATGAATATGGCACTAAACAGAAAGGAATGGCAAAACAGGGTTCATGTAGCAAACCCCATATAATTGGGATAAGGCTTAGATGATACAACATCATCATAGCTATCCATACATATCTATACAACAATAAATTGATTGCTACTTCTCAAGAAAACAAATAGAAAAAAAAAAAAGAATGAGAACTTACTTCCTAATATTACTTGGAGATGGCTCAGGAATCAAAGCTTCCATAAAGGCCTCAGTCAACTCCTCCTTGCTTTGACGATCTAGACGAGGTGTCTTTAAAGCCACATACACTCTTTGACATGAAATTATGACAACAAAGATATAGAAGATCAAAGCACCAATTCTTTTAGGTTCCCAATTCTTGACATCCTGAGGAAACAATGCCCTATATTGTTAATTGGTTTATATAAATGTTGTGTAAACAGTAACAAAAATAAGTTAAATAACTATGAAAATATATGTCAAAGAATAACAAGCATTTATAAACCCAACTAACTATTTATATACTGTTGCTTTCTATATTTGAGATATTGCCTCCTTGAGGCTTTTTTTTTCTTCTCCCTGCCTTGGGAGCGTGAGGTTGTAACATCCTCTCCCTCCCTCCTTCCCTCTCTCTCTCTCTCATTAAAAGTGTTGAGTTGGGCCGATTTCTAGTTATTGGGCCCAGTTATTTATTTTTTATTTTTAAGTTGTTAAATTAGGAAGTTATTGGGCTTTAGGCCCATTAGTTTATGTTTTTAAGTTATGTTCAGCTACTTAAGTAGCCGTCCTAGTAAGGGCATTCTTGTAATCTCTCATTATATTTAATTCAAGTATATAATACAAAGAGGGGTTGACGGCCAGAACTAATTCAATTCTGGTCGACATCCCACTCAACTTTTCTTCTCCTCTCTTCTTCTCTACTGCTGAAACCTTTCATCTTCTTCTTCTCTTCTTCACAAGGAATTCATCTAAAACTGGTATCAGCAATTTCTACTTGGTATCAGAGAGGCCGAAGGTTCCTTGAGCTGTTCTATCATGCAGCCCTAGATCGGCCGACTGCAAGGTGATTTGAGAGGCTGATCGAAGATCTCAGGTAAGCCTAGTTTTTGGATATTTTTTGGTGGATCTGTTTTGCCCTGTAGCTTGTCTTAGGTTTCCCATCAAATTCAAGAAAAACTAGAGAACGGGGGAGAGTCTTGTTTCTGTAGGACTCTTCAATTTTGACTTAGGAAGTGGAGGCCTAATTTTTTAGGGTTCCTTGGAGTTTTCTAAAGGAGGCGGTTCAAGTCCTATCAGTTTTGGAGGTCTCTGGAGAGAGCGGCTGCCTCTTCTCTCTTTCCACCCGTCCCGCAGAAAATGAATCTTTTGTGGGAGGATCATCTAGGGCACCAGAAGGGTATTTGTGGTACTGGAAGGGTTTTATTTCATATTCTATCATCTTACAGTAACCTATTAACCCTTTTATGGGAATTATGGAGAGTAACAGAGTTGAAAACAAACCCGGGAGTGAAATGGGACCAGTGGGAGGAGGGGTCGAAGACTTTTTCGGGGCCGGAACCATTACTAGAGGTAAGTTGGATGGTTCAAATTACTTAGAATGGTCACAATCTGCAAAGATGGCCATTGGTGCTCGTGGAAAGTTGTGGTAATATCACTTGTGAGAAAGTGAAACCCAAGACTAACAACTCCCGGTGGGTACAAGAAAATTATATGGTAATGACTTGGTTGTGTAATTCGATGCTGCCCCATATAAGCAAAATTTTTTTGTGGACAAATACGGCTAAGGAGATATGGGATGGGGTTGCAGAAACCTACTCACAAAGTGATAATGTTGCTAGGACCTATCAGTTGAAGAATCAGATTATTGCTACCAGGCAAGGAGATAGACCTATTGTTGTTTACTTTTCAGCCCTTAAAACACTGTGGCAGGAGATTGACCATTTGAAGACAGTTGTTTGGGAAACTACTAAGGATGCAGCTGCCTACCAGAAGCTCCTAGAGAAGTATAGGGTTTTTGAATTTCATGCTGGCCTTAATCCTAAGTATGATATTGCAAGACAGCACATTCTTTCCAGGGACAGTGTTTCTCTCAGGCATATGCCTTTGTATCAGGGGAAGAGAGCAGGAGAAATGTAATGATGAAAATTTCTAGTTTTGATCAATCAGCCATGGCCAGTACTATGAAACCTAAACAGAGTGGAGACCAAGGTGGCAGTGAAATCAAGAAGGAAGATAAGAAGGATTTGGTTTGTGATTACTGTAAGAAGCCTAAACACACAAGAGATACCTGTTGGAAGCTTCATCCTCATCTTGTGCCGAATAGACTCAAAAACAAGAAGGGAAATGCTCACATGGCAGTCACTAGTGACATACCTGGCCCTCCTACTACAGCCACTCTGGAGTTTATTGCAGTTGTTGCAATGAGGGCCGAACTTGAGAGATAAAGGCAGTTCCTTAATCAACGGGGTACAGTCAGTCCTAATTCAGTAACAGGTGGACAGCTTGGTACATGTGGTTCTGGTGGAGAACACTCTACTTCCTTTGCTCACACAGGTAGTTCACATGCCACTGCAAACTACATTTCTACTACAGGTAAGGAAGGACCTCCTTGGATTATAGATTTTGGAGCCTCAGAGCACATGACCTATAGTTCTACTATCTTTTCTTCTTACCAACTCTGTTCTGGCAAAGACAAAGTCTCCACAGTTGATGGATCTCATGTTCCCATTGCTGGGAAGGGGTCTGTCAAGATTAATGATTCCATTTCCCTACCCTCAGTCCTTCATGTTCCCAGATTGAGTACTAACTTGTTATCTGTTAGTAGTTTGACTAAGAACCTGAATTGCTCAGTAATTTTTTCTCCCAATCATTGTGTTTTGCAGGATCTGGATTCAAAGAGGACGATTAGGAGTGGTCGTGAAGTGAATGGGATCTACCTCCTGGATGTGCTTCCCAATCATCAGGGTCATCATGTCAACAGAGATAGTGAGTCGGGATCAGTGAGTCAAATTATGCTTTGGCATAATTGGTTGGGTCATTTGTCCTTTTCTTCTTTGAGTTTCTTATTTTCAAAATTTTTTAAGTCTGTTAATTTGTCTAGTCTAAAGTGTGAAGGTTGTTAGCCTGGAAAACATTGTAGACATTCCTTTAAAGCTAATAATAAAAGATGTTCATCTGCTTTTGATGTTATTCATTCTGATGTATGGGGACCATAACATGTTCCTTCTATGGGTGTCTATCAATATTTTCTTTTATTTGTGGATGATTTTTCTCGATATTCGTGAATTTACTTAATGAGATCTCAAGATGAGGTACCATCGTTGGTTTAGCAATTTCATCAGATAGTGCTAACATAGTTTGGGATACGAATAAAGGTGTTCAGATCAGACAATGCCACGGAATATTTTGAGAAGAACCTTGCTTCGTATCTGTTAGAGTATGGAGTTGTTCATCAGAGCAGTTGTTCTTACAGTCCACAACAGAATGGTGTTGCAGAGAGAGAACAGACACATTGTTGAGATTGTAAGAAGCATGATGATCACATCTACTGTTCCAGTTCGGTTTTGGGGTGATGCAGTTCTCATAGCAGTTTTTCTGATTAATAGGGTGCCTTCATGTATACTTGGATTCAGCACCCCATTCAACCTCCTTTTTCCTAAGGGGGAGATGTTCCATATTCCTCTTAGAGTATTTGGGTGTTTTGCTTTGCACATATTCTTGGTCCTCACCGTTCGAAACTTGATCCGAAGGCAAAGAAGTGTGTCTTCCTTGGATATGCAGAAAATTAGAAAGGGCACTGCTACTATGATCCAGTCTCTGAGAGTCGGTATGTTACTATGGATGTCACTTTTTTTGAGTCCACATCCTTTTTCTCGAAGGATCCTTCTCAGGGGGAGTGTTTTGGGGAAGTGAGTGAGCAGTCTATCCCTCTTCCAGTTCCAGTTCTTGTATCCACTCCTGTGTCTAATCCTCCTATTTCACCTACCTTACCACCTCCAATTGCGTCCTGCTTCGCAGTGTTTACTCACGACAAAGACTTTATAAGGAGGTTGATTCCACTGCAGAAGAACTCACATCACTTCCTGTCGGTTCCTTGGAGACTCCAGATTCAGTGGACACAGATTTAGGTATTCCTCTTAATCCCTCTATTGTTTCAGTTCCCATTGATTCTACTAATCCCATTACAGATAACGCGGACCTTCCTATTGCTCTCAGAAAAGGGAAGAGAAAGTGTACTGCTCATTGTATTTCACAGTACCTATCCTACAGTGGACTTTCTCCTTCCTATCGTACTTACCTTGCTTCTCTTGACTTTGTGTCTATACCCAAGGGTGTCAGTGAGGCTCTCTCCAAACCTGAGTGGAAGATAGCTATGCAGGAAGAGATGGAAGCCTTAATTAAGAATCAAACATGGAAAATTGTAGATCTACTAGAGGGCAAGGAGACTGTTGGATGCAGATGGATTTACACAGTTAAATATAAGGCAGATGGGAGTATAGAAAGGTATAAGGCCAGACTGGTTGCAAAAGGGTACACACAGACCTATGGCATTGATTACTTAGAGACCTTTGAACCAATTGCAAAGATGACTTCTGTTTGGATACTTCTCTCTCTTGCTGCCACATACTCGTGGCCCCTATTTCAACTTGATGTGAAAAATGCTTTCCTAAATGGAGATTTGCAAGAAGTGTATATGGATCTCCCTGCCGGTTTCTACAGTGATGTTGAAAAAGGGAAGGTATGCAGACTTAAGAAGCCACTTTATGGTTTAAAGCAGTCTCCCAGAGTATGGTTTGACAGGTTCAGGAAGGCATTGATTGCTTTTGTCTACACTTAGACTCAATTAGATCATACCTTGTTTGTGAAGCGGAAGGGATCCTTGGTGTCAGTCCTAATTGTTTATGTGGATGATATTGTTGTCACAGGAAATGACCCAAGTGAGATTGACAGTTTGAAGAAGAATCTATACAAAGAATTTGAAATTAAGGATCTTAGGGAGCTTAGGTACTTCTTAGGCATTGAAGTTGCAAGATCAAAACATGGAATCTTTATTTCTCAGATGAAGTATGTTATGGATCTGCTACAAGAAACAAGGAAGTTTGGAACAAAGGTTTCCAGTACTCCTATTGATCAGAATCACAGAATAATGCATCAGAAGGTGAGTTGGTAAAGGATATTGGGAGATATCAGAGACTTGTAGGGCGTTTGCTATATTTGTGTATAACAAGACCAGATATTTCCTATGCAGTGAGTGTGGTGAGTCAATACATGCATGCCTCGCGAGTCCAGAATTGGGAGGCTGTTGATAGAAATCTTGCTTATCTAAAGGGACACCCAGGCAGAGGCATACTATTTGCTGACCATGGACAGTTGAAGCTAAAGACTTA